GCAGGGGGCCCCTCTGGGCATGGCTGGGTAAACATCCATCCCACGGAGGGCCCCCCCAGCCCCTCTCCACACCCTTGGGTCTGCAGGGGGGTGGGAAACCCACTGAGCATCCCTTGTAGGAAATCCCCCATCTGGGATTAAAAGATTTTTGTGGGTGTGGGCGGAAAAAATAGAAAGAAAGTGGGTTTTGGTTTCTAAAACCAAAGGATGAGGGTTTAGGTGCTGGGAAGTGCAAAGAGGGGGTGTTCTGGCATTGCCGCGTCACTGAGAAGTTGGGGATCTCCACCGAAAACAGTTGGTGGGAGCGAATTCTCCCCTATTGCATCTCCGTGCCTGCTGCACGTATCCAGCATTTCAGCATTTTAGAAGAGCCTCAAATGACCTGTAGCAACATAGGAAGGTGGTTTTCTCCTTGCGAACCCCCCCAAGAAGCCCCTTTCCCCGCTGCGGGCAGCTGCAGAGCGAGCCGGAGCCTGTTTCCCCGAGTCGCCCGTGATGCCGAAGCACAGCGCAGGGAACAGCATCCTCAGAGCCGGGAGCGGGATGCCAGAGCGGGGCACGTCCTCGGCACAGGTACCCCGACCGTGGGCTGAGGATGCTCAAACCATCTAGTGATGCAGCATCGCTACATTAAGTTTTGCTCTTTTTTGTGTCAGAGCTATCATTTAATAGCCCAGGGTGGGGTGGAGAGACTCGGAGAGGCACGGCCCCACTCACATCCTTCCTCACCCCCATCGCCACCGGGATGACTTTTCAAAGCCATTAACGATGTCCCGCCGCTCTCGTGCCACTGCTGGGTGCTCTGGGGCCGAGCGGCACTTGCAGAGCCCCAGGAGATCCCGGAAAATTGGGAATCTGCAGCAGTGGGGGGGGTCTCCTCCTCCCCACCCCTGTCTGCACCGCGAGCCGAGCTGCTGGAGACCCTGCCCCAAACCTTCCCGTCATTGCTCGTCCCCTGTCCCCGTGTCCCTTCTCCCTTTTATCTCCTCGCCCGCCCGTTAGGAAATGGCGCC